TGCAAACAGCAAAGGGCAAAGGGTCTGCAGATTAGATTTTATGTCTCTATAATGAAAACTCTGGCCCTGTGCATTTCATAGCAAGTGAGTTTCAATGGTGACTGGTTTCTAACTAAAGCCACTGTTAATCCAATTATTAATCTACAACTGATGAGTAACTGGTGATATGAACCTTGGCAGTGTATTTAACTTGTAGGTGTAAACCCAGGAGCCAAAAGAACTACTTATCCTAATTACATTTTTTCTTAGCTACTGTACATTTTTTCACAACATAGTACTGAACATGCTATCTATAATAATAAAAGGGTAATATGCTAATTAGATCGGACTTCTTCCAGACCTCCTTCCTGATGAAGCTTGGGCTTGAGAGAAGCCCGCCTGGGTCCCGGGTGGCTGTGGGTGGCCCAAGGGAAGCCAGCCCAGGTTTCGGGTGGCAGAGGGAAGCCATTGCCGGCAGCCAGGGGAAGGAAGGCCTCAACAAGTGCAAATTTTTGTGCACCGGGCCTCTAGTCTATAATAATAAAAGTGAAATATGAGGGGCAATCAAGCAGGCTGGCAGGCAAGTGGTTAGGAGCCAGCACTCCCAGATTGTGAGCGGGTGAAGCAGGGCTGAAGGACTCCCCCTGCCCCGCCCACATGAATTTTGTGCACCATGCCTCTAATTATTCATATAATTCTCAATAATCAATATGTAAAGGATGCTTATCTTTGAGTTGAGAAAAATTTATTTTAAATACTTAAGTAACCTGCCCAGTTATAGCAGTAACTAGCAGAGATGGGGTGGAAACCAAGGGCAGTTTATTTTCAAATACTATCGTTTTAACCACTGTTTCTCATTTATAGAATGTACTTCTCTCTATTAAGAATATTTATTTTCCTTTTAAGAGCAAGTATCAGTATGAGAAAGTATTTCCACATTGAGCATACTTAAGCTTCCTTGCAAATTCCATATTATACACATACGTCTATTCCTTCTTCCCTATCACAGACAGACCCTTGGAAATCTGATTGCTGCACTAATGAGGCCCTCTGTGTCTTGTCTTCTCCAAGCTAAATATTGTCCATTTATTCAAATATTACTTATTTGAAATGTTTTCAGAATTTTATACCTCAGGATAAAATTGTGGTAAATTTTCTCTAGAGTTGTGAAAATAAAATTGAATTTTAAGAAGAAAACCCAGTTTGTTGTAAGGAAAAGTGTTCTGATAATCAGAATTGACAAGCTATGGATAAAACTATCTGTGATAGTGGTTAATTTCTCACTGTGGGAGTTTTAAGCAGAGACTGAATATACCTCTCATATCTCCAAGACGTTTTCAACCTTGACCAGAAGGCTATATTTCCTAAACTTTGAGAAATCTAACTCTGGCATTCCAGGTCTCTAAGAATCCTTTCTTGTATCATCCCTCTCATATTACCCAGTAGTCATTTTGAGGTCATTATCACAGCCTTTAGGCTCATATGCTCTAAGAAATAGACGTTATGTTTAAATACCTATTATATCTGGACCTGTTCCTTAGCTGGATCTGTGTAGGCATGGATAATGTTAACCAGGGAAAGATCACTCTTTCAACCTGCTCTTCCCTCTGCACTGTCAGACATTCTCTTTATTCAAACTCAGAATGGAAAACTTTAGCCTCAAACAAGTTTGAAAGGTCTAAAGATTTGGGGCAACTAAAGATAATTTCATTTTCTTTAGCTACTTTCGCTTTATCTGATGACTCTCCAAACTTTCAGTTTCATAATTTTTGTTTCTTTTTGTCTGTTTCAGGTCCTTTGTATATGTGCCTGAAAATGATTTTTCTTCTCGCAACACCATCAATAGTTTCTATTACCATTATTTGCACTTATGTGAAATTTGGAATACAAGGTAAATGGGACTGAAAGGATTAGAACTATGAGGATATGAAATATGGTTTTTCAGGAAAGAGGAGCTAAATTTCTTACTTTTTGCTATATTTTGTTCCAATTGTTTTTCATATACTAATGCTACTTTTTGTGGTAAACATATGTATTTGTATGTATTGACCATTTTACAAGTGAGGAACCAGGCACAGAGAAGTAAATCAACAGGTATAAAATCATACAGCTAATAAATTCTGCTGGCAGAATTCAACCCATCCAGTTTAACTCCTGGTACTGGTTACTTAATCACTACATCTATATATATATAAAGAACCAGGGGCCGTCACATCCAAAACAACTGAACGGATGACCAAACAGGCTGAGTGGGGCTACGAGGTCAACAGGGGGATTAGTGAGGGACAATCAAATGACTGAGCAACAGGCTGCATAGGGCGAACAGGCCGGCAGCGGGGTTAGTGAGGGACGGCCAAATGACTGTGCAGCAGGCTGTGTGGGGCAACCAGGCCAGCAGGGGGGTAGTGAGGGACGGCCAAATGACTGAGCAGCAGGCTGTGTGGGGTGACCAGGCTGGCAGAGAGGGCAATGGGGGGCAACCAGTCCAACAGGGGTGGCAGTTGGTGGCAATCAGGCCAGAGGGGCGGCAGTGAGGAGTGACCAGGCTGGTAGGGGGATTAGTGAAGGATGACCAAACAACTGAACAGCAGGCTGCATGGGGTGAGCAAGCCAGTTGGGGGGTTAGTGAGAGATGATCAAACAACTGAGCAGCAGGCTGTGTGGGGTGACCAAGCTGGCAGGGGGTTAGTGAGGGCCGACCAAACAACTGAGCAGCAGGCTGCGTGGGGCGTGAGGGGGGCAGTGAGGGGCAACCAGGTTGGCGAGGGGGGGCAATTAGGGGTGACCATGGAAGTTACGGGTGATCAGGCTGTCAAGGGGTCCTGTTAGTGGTGATCAGGCAAGCAGGCAGGTGAGCAGTTAGGAGCCAGTGGTCCCAGATTGTGAGAGGGATGTCCGACTGCCTGTTTAGGCCTGATCCTAGGGATCAGGCTTAAACCAGAAGTCAGACATCCCCCGAGGGGTCCCGGATTGGAGAGTGTGCATGCTGGGTTAAGGGGACACCCCCACCCATGCACGAATTTTGTGCACCAAGTCTCTAGTTATACTATAATACCTTATCAGCTTCAGAACTACAGCTACATTTTAGGGATATTAGATTTCACTTTCTTCATTTCTGTAAGTCCCTAGGAGAAATGCTATAGACATTGTTTTCAGCCCCATTGAAAGACATGACTGTCACTGCTGCTGCTGATATTTATTCTAGTAATGATACTTTAAGAAGAAATAGCTTTTTTCTTCTGACTGATTGTTAAATAATACTCATTAAGCAATTAAATTAATAATGCTATAATCAAAGTAAAGGTTTTTCAAACTTTTGAGTTTTTCACCACTTTTGGAATTTAAATAATAGAAGTACACATTCAATACAAAAACATAAGATCTTGAGGAAGATATTGGGCCAAGTATTGAATTCCCTTGAACTTTATCTCAATACTACTGAAAAGATAAATTGGTACTATGGTGGAATTTAGATAGGAAATCCTGGAACACCCACTCTTGTTTTTGATTAATTATTCTTTCCTAATTTTTTTCTTAAAAAATCTCAGGGTTGTGTGTGTGTGTGTGTGTGTGTGTGTGTGTGTGTGCAAGCAGGCACACACAGGTTTCTTAGAGACCAGCGCAATGTGGCTGTTCATACACCCCTAAACCTATACGGAACTCAAATAATATATGTTGAACCACATGAAGATGTTCTCCCTATATTAAAGAGATCCAAGTGGCCTTAATTGATTGAAATTAAAAAAATCTTCCTTTGTTTTTACCTTAAATTCTTAATATATGCTTTGGAACTTTAAGTCCAATACTCAAAAGGCCCATTGTTAGTGCACAGTGAAAAGCTGCTGTAATGGGGCATGAGATAACATTTCCTCCAACATTTAGATTGAAACAAGGCAGGTCATATGCCTCAGATTTTTTTTTTTCATGTTTGGGCATCAGCCTCAGGTATGACTGTCATGTGAATCCTATATAATAAAAGCCCAGCGACCATAATGGCATAATGACTGAATGACCGCTCAATCAGTTGCTTTGAGGTGCATTGACCACCTCTCAGTCCCTCCCCTACCGGCCTGCAGGCTCTTATTGCTGCATGGTGAACAAGGAACCATGGGGAACTGGGGTGGGTGTTGGCAGGGCAGGACTGGGGACTGGTGAGCAGGCAGAAGATGGCCCTGATTGCAGGCTAGGCATAGGGACCCTGCCCACACTCGATTTCATGCACTGGGCCTCTAGTAAATAAATAAAATATCTATCAGATTTACCTTATAACAATGTACCTTATACTATCCTCATATCCCAATGATTAGGTTACTAATCCTTTAGTAAGCTGTGGAATATTGGGATGATTCTTTGAAAACTTTCTGATTGGCTAAGATCACAGAGCATTTGTGTTTTTCTTGATATCCACATATATAAACTCTTACGGACATCTAATCTCAAATACCTCATTTATACACTGCTAGACCAATTCCAAAGATAAATCCTATATAATAAAAGCCTAGGTGGCGTCGTGTGACGTTGTCATAAGATGGCGACCACAAGATGGTCGCCACAAGATGACCTCCACAAGATGGTCGCCACAAGATAGCCACCACAAGATGGCCAGCAGGAAAAGGCAGTTGTGGGTGATCAGGTCAGCATGGGAGGGCAGTTGAAGGCAAACAGGCCAGCAGGGGAGGACAGTTGTGGGCAATCAGGCCGACAGGGGAGGGTAGTTGGGGGTGATCAGACCAGCAGGGGATGGCAGTTGGGGTAGAGATTAGACCTGCAGGGGAGGGCAAGCAATCAGGCAGGCAGAAGAGGGCAGTTGGGGGCAAGATCAGACTGACAGGGGAGGAAAGTTGAGGGCGAGATCAGGCCAGAGGGGAGGGCAGTTAGGGGCAAGATCAGGCCGGTGGGGAGGGCAGTTGGGGGCAAGATCAGGCTGGCAGGGGAGGGTAGTTGGGAGTGAGATCAAGCCAGCAGAGGAGGGCAGTTGGGTGTAAGATAATCCCAGCAGGAAAGGGCAGTTGGGAGCGACCAGGCCAGCAGGGGAGGGCATTTGGGGGCCATCTGGCTGCAGGGCAGGGCAGTTGGGGGTGACCAGGCCTTATGGCAGTTGGGGTAGAGATTAGACCTGCAGGGGAGGGCAATTGGGAGTGACCAGGCTGGCAGGGGAGGGCAGTTAGAGGCCAGTAGGCTGGCAGGGGAGGGAAGTTGGGGGTGATAAGGCTGGCGGTGGAGAGCAGTTGGGCAGTTGGGCAGTTGTGGGTGATCAGGCCGACAGGGGAGGGTAGTTGGGAGTGAGATCAAGCCAGCAGAGGAGGGCAGTTGGGTGTAAGATAATCCCAGCAGGAAAGGGCAGTTGGGAGCGACCAGGCCAGCAGGGGAGGGCATTTGGGGGCCATCTGGCTGCAGGGCAGGGCAGTTGGGGGTGACCAGGCCTGCAGGGTTTGGCAGTTGGGGAAAATCAGGCAGGCAGGTGAGCAGTTGGGAGCCAGCAGTCCCAGATTGTGAGAGGGATTTCCCATATTAGAGAGGATGCAAGCCAGGCTGAGGGACACCCCCCCATGCATGAATTTTGTGCACTTGGCCTCTAGTTTATCTATATTCTCAATATTTTATTAACTACTCTGTTTATATTATGTCTTAACTGCTTCATAGCAGTTCTCTGAAGAACTCTTTTTCTTGCAGCCCCTTCAATTGGGTTGATCAGTCTTCCATTTTTCATGTACCTGAGGGTTTAAAGAAAAAATTTTAATAAACACTATTACTTTAATATCCTTAAGTGACTGTCATGCTGCATTGATATTCCTTGCTATTCTGTAGATATCTCCATGACTTTACTGAAATTTCTCTCATAATATCACCATTATTGAAGTTATTTGAAATTAGGCCAGAATCCTTCCGTTTATCTCCAAATTAATCTGCACACTGAAAAGAGTTTAGATTCTTATGGATCCATTTATATGGTCAGTCATTGTCCAGATTAAATATAAAATGTTCTTAATTACAGTTTAAATCTTTGGCAAATATTTGCATTTTGGACTCTGTTCTATCCCATATTCACATAAAATTATTTAATTAATTATTTTATCTCACCTCTACATTTATTTTCTCTGTATTCTGTATATTAATCCCATCATCATGATTTTTAATCTTGCAATATAGGAACAAATTAATTTTAAGTCTTGGTTTATGAAATCTAATTAACATTGTTTAATGCCCATGCATTTTAATACTCTTTAACCTGGTAACCTGCATCCAAAATAACAATTGAAATATTTACAATAATATCTACATACTAGAGGCCTGGTGGCCAAAATTCATGCATGGTTGGGTCCCTAGGTCTGGCTGGCAATCAGGGCCAATCAGGGCCAGGCCTATCAGGGCTGGGCCAGAGAGGAGATGACAGTCACTGGGCTGGGCGTAAAAGGAATGGATGCTGGAAGCCAATGCCACCATCATCGGCACCCTGCCACTGTGTGGTTCCCTGCCTCCCGCCCCCTCCTCCTTCCCTCACCACCACGCTGCCACCATGGCTGGTGGGTGGCAGGCCGATCCCAGCCTGCCAGCTGTGGAGAGTGACAGAGCACAGAAGGTTGGAGAGAGCTGGCCCTCTGCCCCCCTGGGAAAGGGGCTGTGTGTGCTGCCACCCACCCCCAGTTCTGTCCCAACCTGGTGCCTGGCCATGATAAGATGATCGGGGCCTGCCAGCCAAGGGGAGAGGGACCATGGGAGATTGGCCAGCCAGGGGAGGTTGGCTGTGGGAGTGCACTGACCATCAGGGGGCTTCTCCTGCATTGAGCATCTGCCCCCTGGTGGTCAGTCTGTGTCATAGCGACCGGTCATTCTGGGCATTCTAGTCTTTCTAATCAGTTAGGTTTTCATATATATAGAGATATGCTCTTT